TTGCAAAGATGGATGCAGCTCGCTGGCGCCAACGGCACTGCTTCTGATCCACCTCCGTGCAGGCCCCCAGACCCCGCACCTGCCCAACCAGCGCGCTCCCAGGGCGGCCGCGCGTCGCCCGGATGATCTGGGGGCAGGTGGAGGGGCACGCTAGGTAAGAGTGGGCAGGGCGATGGAGGCGCGCACGAGCGGCGGTCCTTCCAGCTCCGGGGTGCTGGCGTCTCAGGGCACAACGGCTTGCTGGATCTCCAACGCCCATCTGCCCTTGATAAAGACACCACCCCAGGCGCGAGCCCGAGCGTGTGCCCCAGGCGCCGCTGCACTGGGCACCTAGTGTGCACCTTACCTCAACGCCCCTGGTTGAAGGGGTGCCCGCCACCCAGCAACAAGTCCAGCTCCCCCCCCCCCCGGGCCACTGGTGGCACCAACCTCTGGTATGCTGTGGAAGGAGGACCCCGAGCCGACTATCAGCACGCCCTCGTCACGCAGCGGCCGCAGTGCCTCGCCCATGCGCACGTGGTCCTGGGGTTTCGTGGTGGAGGGGCGTGGGTGGTAAGCAGAGGGGGTTGGGTGGTAGGGTGGTGGTGTGTGGCCGGGGTGAGCCCTGCAGGGGCCGCAACAGTGGAGGACCGAGGCGGCCTTGGCGATCCCGTTTGAGGGGGGGTGGGGCTCGACCCGCGCCTTGGTTACCTCCCTCCCTTTCACTCCCTTTCCCCCCTCTCATCTCCCTCGTTCGCTCTACTGCTCTTGCATCGTGCATTTGCACGCACCCACCCACCACTCCACAAACACACATACACACACACTCACGCACACACAAACACAAACAAAACCACACGCGCACCATCTTCGCCAACGCTCCACGCGCCCCCCTGCCCCGCCCCCACTCGCGCCCACCTCTGGCGCCAGTGACGCAAGTATGGACAGCTCCACCACAGGGATGGCGGCGGAGGGGTACATCAGCATGAGGGGGATGAACGCGCCGTGGTCCAGCCCGCGGCCAGACGACTCCAGCTGAGGCTTAAAGCCCGCACCCCTGGCCCCGGCAAAGGGACGGCGTCAATTCAAAAGGCGTCACGGGGTGTGCGAGTCGGATAAGGTGTGTCTGGCGGCGCATCAAGTAAAGGCTGGCGAGGGTACGAATGCGCCCCGGCGGGCTGCGTGCCTCTGCAGGTTCGCCATGCAGAGCAGTAGGTGGGCAGCTGGATGCACGCACCCGCGACTGCGGCCCACGACACCGGCCGCTCCGCCTTCGCCCTGCTGCTTTATGCGCATAGCCGCCCCCACGGCGCCCCCTGGAGCGCTGCGTCCCCATTGGACGGCTGCACCTGAGCAGCCGCAGCACCGACTGTGCGAGCGCCGACTGGCCTGGCGGGCGGTACTGCAGCTGGTAGCTCTCTGGGGGTGTGGGTGAGGCGATGGGGTACGATGCATACAGTGCAACACATCAGTCAAAAAATTATGTGATGGTTCAGAGTGGTGGATTACCACACAGGAGGAGTCGGAGGGAAAGGTCCGAAAACCGGGTCGGAGGAGTTGCAAGGGTGCGTGCCTAACAGCACCTCACTGGCGGTGCGGTGCGGCCCGCTGTGCCGTGCGGGCACCTGGTGGGAAGCCGCCGTAGTCATACAGGAGATGCGACGGCGGCTCCGCAATGACCGTGGGCTGCGCTGCCTCGAAGTGGGCGCTGCACAGCAGGATGGCCGTGGGCGCGGCCGGAAGGCGGCCGGGCAGCGATCGCAGCGAAGCGGTGAGCTGCGCGTGCGCTGGGTCGCCCAGCACGGGGAGGGGCCCGCCTGGGGCCGTCAGTGTTGGTGTGAGCAGGACAAGTGACGGTCAGGGGGCGTGGGCGGGTGTGGCGGGTCGATTCAGATAGATTGATAGAACAGAGGGCACCCCGCAGCCTGGGCGCTGCGCAAGGCAGGGGAGGGGCACAGGATGCCAGGCACCTGGCTCCTTGACAGGCAGGCGAGGACTTGGCACCAGGCACTGAGTTGCTCACCCCCATGGGTCACGAATATGCTGGGAAGCCGCATGGCTGCTGCGAGGGGGGGCGCTGAGGCCGACTCGGCCGCCGTCCCCAATGCCTCCTGCGGGTCCGGCCACGCCGGAGCCGAGGCTGCGGGTGCCCCGTTACAGTATCCGCATTGTCCTCTATAGCCACTGTCTTCTCCCAATTGGACCGGTAACCAAGGTGCCTCCACACTGTGAGTTGTCAGCCCCCACCGCGTTTTCAGACCAGTGGCAGCCTGTTTGCCTGATCAGCATGAGGCAACACTTTAACAAAATATTACAGACACTAGCCACGGCCTAGGATTCCCAGAAGTGAAACCACCTCTCCAAACTCGGTCCAAAGCAATCCAATCACGAGCTGAGTTCGGGTGACACAAGGGGGGTCTCAGAACATCAGGCAAGGGGGGAATGATAAGATCAGGAAAAGGCTGATCAAGGCAATAGCGAAGAGGCAGGGCAGGGGTCTCGGCGTGGTGTGATGGCATACCGGCCCAAGGTCGGAACAGGGCAGCAGGCCATTCTCGGCTGCGTCAACGGGTAAGACAGCCATGGTAACTGCTACCTCAGCACTTATAAAGGGCGGCCATCCTTTGTGGCCTGACCGCGACCCCTGACTCGCATGGGAGCTGGGCACATCGTCCCGCACGTTGGCGGCATGCAGCCACACCTACGCCAAAGTGCGGTACAGAACCGCCTGGGCTCAGGCCCCAGGCTGCGGCTTGCACACATGGGTCACAATTGGAGCTGTGCCGCTGTACCGCATGGCGGTGACCTCATGGCGCGCATGCGCTACGTGTATTGGGTCGTGCGCAAATCAGTGCTGTGAACAAACACCCGGTGGTGGTGAGGGACCGCGTGCACACCAGCGGTGCCCAAACACTCAGCTGACAGCACTGTGTCGGTGTTGAATGCCGTGTGCGTGCGAGTGATTAGGACAACAGATCCAAGAAGGCCCGCCCACAGTTGCGCACAGTACAGTTCGGACATGCTGGGCAAACGCCCATCATCAGCAAGGTCTGTGGTGTTCGCGCTGTCGCGCGGCAGAAGCAATTATGGCTGCTGCATCCGCGCATGCCGTGCTCTGAGAATTCAAAAGGCAATGCACAGGATGAAATTGGTTTGTGCGCAAGCGGGTGAGTTGAGGAATATCCAAGCGCCATTAGTGAGGGTTGACGCCCCGACCGGAGTAGCGCCTGTCCCACCGAGATAGTTAAATCCGTCACACCCGAGACCATTGAACCGGCCGTTTGAGCCGCTCCCCGACCACCAAGTGCTGGATGCTGGCAGCACGCCCGCGCTGCTCAAGGTGGTCAAGATGCTGCCGCCCAGCAGGCCCGAATACATGGTGGCGAGGACGGCGCCGCTCAAGGACTCGATTGGCAGGCTGCTGGGGACGCCGTACAATGTGGTGAAATCGGAAATCTGGTCGGATGCAGACGTTGACAGGAACGCGCGCACCTGCACGAGTCCGGTCGGCCGGTTGAGGGAGGCACTGCACAAACCGTCAACACCAGACCGGCCACCAAGGGCGGTGCCCCTGCGTGTCGAAGATTCACTGTAGATCACCACCCGCGAGCGCAGGTACTGCGCCGCAGGCACGCCCCCCAGGCTGACCGCGTTGATGTTGGCCAGGTCGGTGGTTCTCGCGAAGACAGTGAAGTCAATGGCAGTCACGTTGGCCACAGTGACCGTCAGGGCAGCGATGCTGGTGTTGACTGACGCGATGGCTGCCGCGCCCGTGGTAACTTGGGCCTTCAGGGACTCAACGGTGGCGTTGGCCAGGGAGACGGCCGCCGCGTCCGCCGCCTGGGCTGACTTGATGGCGGCCAGGGTGGTGTTAACAGTCGAGAGCTCAAGGCCGCACGTGCACTGCTGCGAAGTAGACTTGAGCGCCGCGATGTCCTGTGCCGCGGTCTGGTTTGCCGCCTCCAGCAGGGCCACCTGCTGGGCTGTGCGCGCGTCGGCCGCTGCGAGGGCGGCAAGCTCTCGAGTGATATTGCCCAGGGCGGAAGCATTGGCCGGCGGGTTTGCTTGCAGCTTCTGGACGTTGGCGGCGATCACGACGATTGACGCCTTGAGCTCGTCTATCAGGGCGCGCAGCGTGGCTGTCTGGTTGCTTTCCTGGACGAAGGTGGCCTGAACAGAGCTGGCCTGGGTGGTGGCGGCGGCGACTCTAGTGTTCAGGGCCGCGATGTCATCAGACATTTTGTTGACCTGTACGGTGGTAGCCACGCCGCAGCCGTAGTGCAGCTTGGTGGGGTCCTGGGGGAGTCAGAAATTGCCGTTTCGTCAAGGGACAACGAAGTGAAGGGGCTTCATCACCCCGCTGCATTACGGAGACGAGGATGTGTATGCAATGCGTTGATAGCCAGAGTGTTGCGGGGTGCAGCAGGAGGTGCATTTGCATTCACCACAACGCTTGCTGTCAGATCAGCACTGATGACCAGACACTTGACCAATCGTAATCGTTTCGACATGCATGCGTCGGCGTGTGTGTACGCGTGCACTTACCTTGCTGTCAGCTGTTGCGTTGGCGGGTGCAAGCAGCTCGCTGCACAGCTGATCCATAAGAGCGGTTGGGCCGGCCTTGGAGGTGCACGACCTGGTCAGAGCCTTGACAGGCGCGCACTGCAGGGGGGTGCGCGACGAAAGCAGGGTTGGTACATGCGTTGCCTAGCGGGATGCTGACCTCACGCAAGCCAGGCAGGTGTGCACACGCTGTGGCGCTGGCGGGCTTTTTGGCTGCGCTTGCCTTGCAAGCAAAGGCGGACATGATTGCCATTCTGGGGCACAGTGGGCAACTAACTGGTGCGTACATGCAGGCGCGCGCCAAGGCCTTGCATGGCACGCAGGGGGCACTTGCTCACCAGCGCCAGCTTCTGCTTCTTGGGGGTCGCTTGAGGACTGCAGGGAGTGCCACAAGGGTTGAAGCAGCACGAGAATGGCAGCAGAGGTCAGCGTGAGTGAAAATCTATTGGCGGTGTAGACGGACAATACAGAAGGCTGGAGGCGTGCAAGTCCATGCATAGCAGGTCGGCAACACATGCAGGAATAGCGATGGCGCCAATCATCTGCAGTAGCTCTATCTTGACGGAGTGTCGCCAATGGCACAAGGCTTGTCGGGAAGGCTTCCATGACTTAGGGGTGGGCTTGTCAATGCATGCATGGCACTGTTTCCCTCCGAGCACCCCTTGTGTGCCATGTGTGTCCAGGTGCCGGTATGCTGTAACGCCAGGCCTAAGGGAAGGTCCCTGGGCATGCCAGTGCCTGGCCCACGGGCCACGCCCGCCTGCATGCGCACCTGGCGCACATGACCCCGCCCAGCATGTTGAACAGCAACATGACAACCGTCAAAGGCATGATCCAGCGCCGTATGCACCCCATGCTGGGCGCCAGCGTCGTCGGGAACCCGCTCGAACGTTGTTGAGGCGAGCGAGGATAATTCCTCGTTGCAAAGGATGGGAGTGAAGTGTGTCTGCCGGCTCCAAGGGTTTGCGTGTGCTCAATTTGCGGGGCGTGTTACATTAGTCACATGGGGTCATGCGGTGTGTTAGATCGTGGCGTTCCTCATCAGCGTGCAGACTTAGACTGTCCGGCTAAAATCGAGCACGCGTGCGAAGTTATTGATTTGAGGAGTCGACGAGTCCGGTGCAGGGCCGACGCGTGCTGGACGCGTGGGATCATTAGTGCAGGTCCATTATGCTGCGGCAGCGCGAGCCTTCGCAGCAGATGACCAAGCGAGGTGTACTGCGTGGTTCAAGAGCCTCACCTTTGAGTCACGGCACAAAGTCACATGAGCGCGTTTGATGGCTGCTATGCTGCCATGGCGGGGTTTTGAGGGGGGGTCAAGCACATTTGACCGGTAGACACCCCCATCACTACTGGGGCCTCAGATGACTATATCACTGTCTCACCATGGCTGTTTGCAAACGGGGACTCCCCCCTTCTGGCGTGATCAAACTGTTGATTTATTTCCATGCTACATAATGTGCCTGGAAGGCCGGTGGGGACCCCTGTCTCTTCAAGTGCTCCTCGGCTGAACAAGACAACAACTTGGGCTCCAGTGG